ACCTTCCACCTCACCCTACCCCCCCCCCAAAAAAATCCCACCTCTTTTGGGTGACAGTCTCCATTTCTCGGGCCAGAGGTTTGCAGAACCTAGCCTAATACAATCACTGTATTCATTCCCATTGGAGTGTTCTACATTGTACCATAGACGAAGCGTCCTCCCTCTCTGAGGGATGTGAGTTGCGAGTCATGTCTTTATCCTGGGGAGAAAGCAGACATGGAAAGGCGGGGAAGGGCAGAGCTAAGAAACAGTCCTGGCAGGGTGTGTTAACCAGGGGCCTCCTACAGGAACGTAACTGATAGAATGGATATCTATTAAAGGGGATTTGTTAGATTGGCTGACACTATACAGCGTAAGCAGTCCAACAATGGCTGTGTGCACATTAGAGAGGCTGAGAACCTGGTAGCTGCAAAGGCTGGGTGCCTCAGTAGTCCCAGTCTGGCGCTGAAGGCCTGGAAGATTTCTGGAGAGCTAATGGTCTTCAGCCTACACTGGAAGGCTAAAGAAGCCAGGTTCAGATGTCAGCAAAGGATGGAGGTGGCAGCAGGAGCAGCAGCGATGGGGTAAATGAACTTGCAATGCCCATGGAGGTCAGAAAAGGGTGTTGGATCAACCTAGAACTGGAGTCATGGAAGGCTATTAGCCTGTGGGTGCTGGGAATCAAACTTGAGTCCTCTGCAAGAGCAGCCAGTGCTCTTAACCGCTGAGCCATCTCCCCAGCCCCTCCCTCCCTCCCTCCCTTCTTGTTTTGGGTCTCCTTGTAGCCCCAGCTGGCCTGGAACTCACTACATAGACCATGCTGACCTCAGATCTTACAGAGATCCACCTGCCTCTGCCTCTGCCTCCCAAGTGCTAGGAGTAAAGGCATAAGTTACCACACCCTGCCCTAATTTTTTATATGGCAAGTTCCATTTAGAATACTTTCCCCCAATAAAGCAACTTTCTCCAGCATGTCATGATACTAATCTTTCCTTATGTTACCTTCACTTAATTCTAATAGTGTTCACTGCAGAGCATGACAGTCAGACACACAATAGACAGCCATTCAAGTGACTGTTGAATATGGGCAATAAAACCAATCCTCGCCGTCGTGGTGGCTCACGCCTTTAATCCCAGCACTTGGGAGGCAGAGGCAGTCGGATCTCTGTGAGTTTGAGGCCAGCCTGGTCTACACAGTGAGTTCCAGGACAGCTGGGGCTACAGGGAGACCCTGTCTCAAAAAGGCCAAAAAAAAAAAAACAACCCAATCTTCAAAGACTTAAAACTCAAAACATCAGATAATTGTAACTTTTTTATGAGACTTCGGTTTTTGAAATACATAAATCTTACAACACAAACACAGTATTTACATTTCAAGTTCTTTTTACAAAATATGTGTGCCATTTTGGAAGAATACTGTTAAGATCATGATCGAAAATATCTGTCAGAGTTCAAAGAGGACTCACAGAATCAGGTTTCCACAAAACCACTGTATAGCGATAGAATAGGACATGGCTGTATGTCACGGTCCACACTTAGATAAAAATGAGGATAATTCTCTGGTCTGACAACAATGACTTCTGGGCCAAATCTGGCTGGGGCCATTTTGTACAGCTGCAAGCTAAAGCAGGTTTTTATGTTTTTATAGGGTTGTTTTTAAGAAACCTTAAGCAAAGAAGAATATGTGATAAAGACAGTTCTGTCTAAAATTATATTCTAATTTTTACAGAAAAAGTTGGTTCACCCTTGCTCAACTGGGAGTAAGCTATGGAAATACACTGGTGAGTATTCAGCTAGACACCGTGGTAATGTGTCAGCGCTATTCATTTCTAAAGTGAGGCACTTTTGTTTGAATATATACATTTCCAAAACATAATTACATCCGGTAAGTAGCCCTGCTACTTAACTCTAGCCCTTTATAATCAGGCCTGCACATGAAATCACAGTATTCTTAGGGATGAGCGTAAACAAGCACAAGTATTTCTGACGCCAGTCACTGAACTCCTCAGTAGTTGCTAGTGATTCATGATCATTTCATTGTTAAAGTTAATAATTTAGATAGGCCAAAAGAAAGTGATAGTTCTGCATTATTTAAATAACATCTATAAAAACATGGTTAGATATCCTAATTCATTATTTTCAGAAGCAACAATAGTTAACTATGTAGCTATTTACTTTTTAAAAATATTTTATTTTTATTTTATGTGTATGCATGTATTGCCTGCACGTAGGTAAGTGCACCCGTCTCATGCAATGCCTGTGGAGGACAGAAGAGACTGTCAGATATCTTGGAACTGGAGTTATGGACAGTTGTTAGCTGCCATATGGGTGCTGGGATTTGAACCTGGGTCTTCTGTAAGAACAGTCGGTGTTCTTAACCACTGAGCCATGTCTCCAGCCCCCAGTAGCTATTTACTTTAAAAAATGGAAAATAGAAGAAAGGGGAACTGAAAAATTATACCAAAAGGCTTTGAAATGCAAAGACTGGGGTCTCTCAGCAATCGCTCCCAAGCTGGCCTGAGCTTCTTTGCAATGGTTGTGGTTAAAAACTAGCAGCTTGTCAGTGAGGCTTTTTAGAAACAGGTTGACAAGTCCTTGGGCAAATGCTTCAAAAGTACAATCAGTTCAGAGCTGCTCTACACCAGTCTTCAGAATGCTCGTTAATTCCGGGGCAGTGGGCGCCATTCATGCCGCAGAAGAACACGGTCTGCATGCTGCTCCTCCTTCGTAGGATAAAGATGTTACTAAGGGAGAAATATGTGAAAAAGGAGAATAGTTAAAGGGGAGGGGGGAAGAAGGGCTATACAAAGAACTATGGGAATAAAGGAGGGAAAAGAATTCTCCAGATGCACAGTAAAAAAAATAAAGAGAGAGATCAATTGAATATAATGCCCATTCCTATGGGGGAACACACATCTGGTACTGTAGACCCTGCCAACCCTGTGGCAGGGGAGAATATAGGCCTTAGTGGGAAGCCACTACAATTGTTTTGTTAGATGGAAGTTATGCACCTGTTAAAGTACCGTCCAATTGCTTGTGCTTACACCCATAGGTTAAGTTATTATAGCAGTCACTGTTTAAATTTTCTTGCTTCTTGCTGTCCAGTTTTTTTGTTTTGTTTTGTTTTGTTTTTTGAAACTGAAAAGACCTGGCTCTGTTTAGTCATAGGATACTATCTTTGGGTTTGAACAGACTGTACTGTAAGACAGGGTTTAAAAAAACAACCCTATACTAAAAACCCTATCAACTTTCTCTATAATAATCATTGGAAAATAAAGATAATGATTATGAATGGGATGCAGTGCAAAAAGCCCATTTTAAATCAGCTGTTTAGAATTTGAATAAATACTTCTTTTCTCTAAAAACAAAAAACAAACAAAAACCAGTTACTTGTGTTATATCTGAGCTGCAATGAGGAAAAAAATCCAACTATATATTTTTAAAAATCTTATTATTTTTATTTTATGTGTATGAGTGTATTGCCTGCGTGTATGTGAGTGTACCCATGTACACTCACATACATACAATGCTGCACACTCACACACATACAATGCTGCAGAGGTGGGAAGAGGCTGTCAGATTTCCCTGGAACTGGAGTTAAGGAAGGTTCATAGCTGCCATGTGGATGCTGGGAATTGAACACGGGTCCTCTGCAAGAATAGTCAGTGCTCTTACCTGCTGAGCCATCTCTACATCCCCCCAACTATATTTTTTTACTTATTTATTTAATAACCACATACTTACAAGAAGCATTTCATTACAACAGCATTGACATATTCAATAACAATTTCCTGAGCTAAGATGCATCTCTTTCAAAATTGACTGTAAATTTTTAGGTTTACAGTTGAATTATTATAGTTACAAAATATTGTACTCAGTATAAACCCTATAAGATATAAAATTAATGAGGTTTTAACCTTTAAAAAAGATCTCCATTTCATTATTAAAATACAGTTTCATACAGAAAAATTCATTTTTAATGCAACTGACATTAAGATTTTTATGCCTGCATTTCTAATCTCTCTATATCTGATTATTACTAGTCACAGTCAGTTACTTTCTGAGCTCCTTGGCATCTGAGCATGGATATAAAGTCATCAGGTAGATTTCAATG